GAAATTGTTCTGCTCTTTTGTCCTATGGGTCAGAGGTTTGACTCTTAGGATTCCATGGAAGCCATTCTCAACTGAGAAGAGCCAACAAGAGAATTTCAGCTGAATATCAGAGACTAGGATTGAGTCAATTTTACTGATGATAAAATATATAAAGCAGAAAATGGCCCTCAATAGAAATTCCTGCTAATATTACATGGCTGAGGTTTCAAATTGTCTTCGTTAGAGATACTGAAGTGGGAAAGGAGCCTTATAAAAGGTGTTTAAGGAAGGTGTGGCCAGCACAACCCATCCCAAGGTCTACTAAGATTTCCTGTTTAGAAAAGGTCCTTGGGAAACAGTAGTGTCTCCTGAGCCAGTGGCCACACCTTTTCAGAGTTCTCTGTTGCCACAGTGCTCATATTACTTCTAGGTCTTGATTCCCTTGTAACAGGATCCATGTTCTTCAATGGCTGATCCTAGAAGCTCTGAACTTCTCTCAAGTCGGAGTGCTCAGTAGAGAGACCCTGGCACTTACTGGGCTCAACTACCACCTATTATTCCTGTAACATGTAATGACAAAACTCTTTACCCACAAGAAAGGAAAAAATAACCACCTTAGAATCCCTCTTGGAAGGTAAGGATGAAGAGTTATCAGGAAAAGAGAAAAAAGCCAAGAAGAAGAGAAAGGAGAAGGATGAAGAACAAGCAGAGAAGAAAATTAAAGTTTGAAGCTGTAGATATTTTAAGGATTAAAATTAAAAAAACAATTTATTTTATATAAACACTAAAATTCTCTCTCTCTTTTTTTATTGTCATAAATATAAATGTAACAAAAGATTTGTCTTTTCAACTTTTTTTTTTTTTTAACATGTACGGTTCAGTGAAATTAATTAAGTTCATTATGTTCAACCATAATCATTATCCATTTCCAAATTTTGGTGGCATAGTGCCTAAGGCATTTGACTTCTAACCAGAAGGCTAGCAGTTCAAACCCACCAGCCACTCCTTGGAAGGACGACTGGATAATCTACTTCCATAGAGATACCTCCTCGAAACCCAAGAAGGGGTCACTATGAGTCGAATCAACTTGACAGCAGTGAGTTTTTTTTTTTTTTTAAAGAATCAATGTCCCTTAAGCAGTGAGGTCCTCTGTCTCCCTTCCCTCCTGTGTGAGAATGGTAACCACTAATAAATTTTAGTCTCTACTAACTTGCCAATTTTAGATACTTCTTATAAATTGGAACATACAAGAATGAAAGACAGCAGTGGTAAATATTATTATAGCACAATCCTGCAATACATGTAATAACAATAACCTACAAATGGATATGTAGACACACAAGCTGAAGAGATGTAGGGAGTCGAATTGGAATATAGATAGATAGACAGACAGACAGACAGATAGAAGCTCTGGTAGCATAGTGCTAAAACATTTGACTGTTAACCAGAAGGCTGGCAGTTCAAACCCACCAGCTACTCCTTCGAAGGAAGATGGGGCAATCTACTTCCGTAGAGATACCGCCTTGGAAACCCAAGGAGGGGTGGCTATGAGTTGGATCAGACTCAACCGCAGTGAGTTTGTTTTTGTTGGTTTGTAACCACTCCTGTAATGAAATAAAGAAGCAAAGAGAAGAAACAGAATGACATGTTAAAATAAGCCAAGTCTGTTGGAGTGATTCTTAATGATGTGGGAAATCTGAACTCTGACTGGAAAAACTTGAAGGTCAGAATATTGCTTTTACAAATTTTAGCAATAAACACTAATACCTTACCAACATCTCTGTCAAAACTATAGGATGCTTTCCAGGCCTTTTTACAGAATTTTCTCAGATCCTTAATTTGTCAAAAGAAAAAAAAAAAAAAATGCCTGTCTCCCCAAATCACATTATATTTTATGTAAAAATGCTTTGTGGAAAAAATAAAGAAAACTGCTGGCATATATGTTTGATTGACAACAGATTTCTGAGCACTTTGGCTTAGTTATTTTTTTATGAAATTAATGCCTTGTGGTTTTCATAACAAGTTTGAGAGCAATGGCCAAGTATGTAGCAAAGAGACAACAATAAAACTTTCCTATCTCAGAGAGCAATTGTCAAAATCCTATTGCCTCCAGCACAATATCAATAATGACAAAGGTAGAAATAAATTTGAGCCAGTAAAATACTAAATGTGTCAGTCAATTTGTTTGACCACTTCCAAGCAGCAAGATAGCTAAGTTACCACTTTCTATTCAACGTACAGGGTCCGTTCGCAAGGAAAATATCCAATACTCAGTATAAATGGTCACAATGGAGAAAATTAGTGAGGCATTTTACCAGGTTTAACTCTGTTTTATCAAGTCCCACAAATTTAATTTACTTACATCACCCTAAACTTTCTAACCACCAAAGACATTAATTCCATAGTATTTTTTATTTAATAGTTTTTGTGTTACAATTTCAATTATGATGATGATGAAATCACTATTTAATCACTAAAATAGGAAAATATTGGGAAATAACTTTGTAACTAAAAGTAAATGCTTGCTTATTTCAAGTGTAGTACAGTGTGTGATAGACAGTAATACTAATATCCTATTACCACCAGTTGCCCAGTCTTGAAAACTCCATGTGTGTCAGTGAACTGTGCGCCATAAAGTTTTCAATGGCTGATGTTTCAGAAATAGATCACAAGGCCTTATTATTGAGACATCTCTGGGTGAACTCGAACATCTAAACTTTTAGTTAGGAATTGATTCAGTTAACCATTTATATAATCTACAGATTCCAATAATCCAATAATAATGATTAAGCTTTAATGACTACTGTGTGCCAGGCCTTGTTTTCAGCACTTTACACTCATTTAGCCTTACTTTTATGGAGGTAGAAACAATCATTATCCTTCATTTTTCTTTTGCATGAGAGAAAACTGAGACACAAAATATTATGTAATAGCCTAGGAGTAAGTTATTTAACTAAATAGATAACTCCCTAGAAAGAAAGTGTTGGCCTGGGAGAGTGGAACTTACATTCTAAACATCACTCTATCCTCCAGATATTATATTAATATTTGAATTATTATCCTAGTAGCATAGTGGCTAAGGCACTTGACTGCTAACCAGAAGGCTGGTGGTTCAAATCCACCAGCCACTCCCCGGAAGGAAGATGGGGCAATCTACTTCCACAGTGATACTGCCTTGGGAACCCAAGAAGGGGTCACTATGAGTTGAGTCCGACTCGATGGCACGTAACAACAACAACAACAACAACGAGGAACAGTAAGGTCCTAAAGGTTGGTGGTTTGAACCCACCCAGTGGTAGCATGGGAAGGAAGCTGGAAAGGTTTGGAAATCTGCATCTGTTCAGATTGCAGTCAATAAAAACCTGTGAACTGTTCTACTCTGTAACATGTGGGGTCACCATAAGTTGGAATTGATTCAACGACCACTAATAGCAATGTGAAAAATAAAACAAATATTTAAAAATCCATGATTCTGTATATTAACATTATTATGTTGTTAAGTGCCATCAAGTCATCTTCAACTCATAGCTACCTAATGCCCAACAGAACAAAACACTGCCCAGTCCTGCACCATCCTCACAATCTTTGCTATACTTTGCTATACCTGAGCCCATCGTTGCAGCCACTGTGTCAATTCATCTTGTTGAGGGCCTTCCCCTTTTTGTGGAGTGCTGGCCCTCCACTTTACCAAGCATGATATCCTTCTCCAGGGAATGATTCCTTCTGACAACATGACCAAAGTAAGTGAGATGTAGTGGATATTAACATTATCCACTTTAAAAGAATCCTTTTGAGTAACCTACACACAAATTCCAGTGATGCATCTATTGCCTAATACATGTGTAAATACATGTGTAAATACTCTGAATTCCTTTGGCAATTGTAGCATGCTTTCTCAACATGCTGACAGAGGTCAGCAAACTTCTGTAAAGGGTCAGGTTATAAGTATTTTTATCTTTGCAAACCATACTATATTCACTTCTACCCTTGTAGTGTAAAAGCAGCCATAGACAATATGTACATGAATGGGCATGGCTGTGTTACAGTGACATTTAATTATCTGAAACAATCAGAGCTTGAGGTTTAGTTCAAGGGCCTAGGTAGCCAACTTTCTTTAAAGGTGAATTTATGGTTGTTGCTGTTCTTTTGGGAAGAAGCAATCAAGATCATTCCAAAATGGGTAGGTTGGTAAAGAGCCAGGGATAAACATGTGGAATGAGAGAAAAAAAAAGGGGGGGGGGATGAATTAAAACAAAAAGATGCTTATAAAATATTACTATTACTTCCTGAGTGACTCAAAAACAGGTTTTCAGGAAAATATTAATAGAAGATTCCAAAAATGCTTGAGCTACTGGAATAAGTAGATGGTCTCTCAAGGTGGCCTGTATGAAGAGTGAAATGCTTATTTTTGATATTTAAGGTTAATAGTGTGTAAAACCTAGAAGTTAAGAAATTTGATTTCAAAGCATTTTTGTTTTAAATTTCTGAATTCCTTCTCTTTATTGTGCATGTATGTTTTAAGTGCAAAATATTCACAATTTAACTCAGCATTTTCACTATTCATTATAATCAGAGAAATGTTTAAAGTAATCAAATGTATTAGTTTGCAAGTATAAATACCAAAATGAATTTTAGAAAGTGATATTTTAATGCTTCTACTGGGACTTGCATTTCCAATGATAGAAGCATCAGCTAAAATGCCACTAGCATTTATAGGAGTTCTCTCTTCTTTTCTAGCAAAGCGAGTATTCATTCCTTCTAGTTCCAGCTGCTAAATTGTAAATGCTTCTTGATGGGTTAGTCAATGATGATATAATCAGTTCATGCGAGCAAATTTTCTTGCCGTAGTGACTAAACTATCACTTGCAGCAAGCAAGATGGTTATAATTTTTTTCTCAAGGGTACTAATAATTTTCTGTTGCTCCAGTGATCCAAGAAATGCCAGATTTTATCAGGCAGTTCATGTACTTCTGCTTTATGCTGACTAGAAAGATTACAAGTCTTCATCTTTCTCTTTCCAGGGACGGAAGCAGCTGTGAGTCCAAATATTGGAATTCACCTTCAATGTCAAAATCCTGAACTGTATTCTATTCCATGTTTTGGCCCCCCACCTCCATATGAAGAAATTTTAAAAACAAGCCAATTTTAGAACATCAATTGACAGTGTTAGAAACAGTTTTCATTGTAAAACATCAAGTTTAAGAAAAACAACTTTGAGAGTGGAATTCCCAGAGATCAATCATTATAGTCTGAAAAAAAGGACAATTAAAAAAGGTGATGTAGGGAAAAATTTAGGTGATGGAGAGATTTCAATAGTGAATTAGTGAACTCTTGATATATTATTACTGTGTTGTAACTTGTATGCTACACAACGAAGATTAATGCTTCCCCATTGGTACTCAAATAGGGCTTTAATTAGGTGCATGAGGGATCCTCAATTGTTAAATTTAGGATTCCACTCTAGTAAACATTACACTTTTCTCTGCCTCAAAAGCTTCATTTTAATCTGAACTCTCTACTAGCATGGAATGAATAAAATCTTATAATTTAACAATGGCCCAAGAAAAGATTCACACATCTCCAGAACGAGAGCCAGAAAGAGTACATTAGTGTAATGGGGTAGAGTGTAAGAAGAAGAAACATTTGGAGTACAATGTTGAAGGATGAAGGAAGAGGAAGATTATAAACCTCAAATCAAGAGGTTGTATGTCTCACCTTGAGGAGGGAAGAAGTGTAGATAGAAGCTGAAGGAAATTACCTAGGATGTGGGATCATGTAACGCTACTATGGAGAAAGGATGGAAAAAGCACCCATGTTACATGGGTGAATTTTACATGAGACCACAGCCTTTCTCTGGTACCTTAAGGCTTGGTATTTTTCAAAATACCTTGGTAGAGAGATCTGCAATCTCACTGAGAGTTTTGACTGCAGCATTAGCCGTGACACATCTTCAATCGGCTTTTTAGTGGTGACCATCAGTAAGAGGGACAGGGAAAATAATCCATAGCAGATGCCAGATGGTTTTTAACTTACAAATTTGTTAAACAAACCAATTAACATCTTCACTAGTTTGTCTGGAAGGCATTTCAAATTTAGCTTAACAAACCTATCCTAATCTTTTCCCAAACTTGTTTTATCCAAAACCTTTCCTGTCTCAGTGATAGTAACTGAAATCTTCCAGTTGCTCAGGTCAAAGAACATGGAGCAATCTTTGAGTCTTCTCCTTGTGTTAAATTCAGTATCCAGACTGGCAAGAAAATCTCAGAATCTCTGGATGACACAAATGGTTAAGCACTTGACAACTAGCCAAAACGTTCACAGTTCAAACTCTCATGGAGGCTCCTTAGAAGATAGGCCAGCTATTTGCTTGCAAAAGGTCACAGCTTTTAAAACCCTATAGAACAGTTCTACTCTGCACCCATGGGGTCACCATGAGTTGAAATCAGTTTTACCACCTTCAAACAGTTCCTACCACATCTCTGCTATGAGCTACTCACTGTTAGTTCTTGCCTTGATTACTGCAATAGAATCTAAAATGGTCCATTTGCTTTCACCTTTGCTCTTCTATAGTCTGTTTACAACACAGTAGATAGAGTAATCACTTTATCTACTGCAGAAGAAGGATCAAGCTCCTTTATCAAACTCAAATAGAAAATTCTAAAGTCCTCCATATACCTCCAGACCTCCAGTCTTACTACTTTTCCTTTTACCCATTTGTTCCAGGCAAAGTGTCCTCAACACTACCAGTTATTATCCCACCCCTACCTGCCCCTTAGGGTCTTAGCACTTGCCATTCCTTTGTTCTAGAGTTGTCAACACCCAGATATCAGGGTTCCTCACCCTCTCACCTTCTTTAAGTCTTTTTCAAATGTCAATTTCTTAGTGAGCCTCATACTGACTTCCCTACTTAAAATTACAACCTTTCTCAATCTTGTTACTTCCCACCTCCTTATCCCAGCTACATGTTTTCTTTTCCCATCACACTTAATCATCTTCTAGGATACTACATAGCTGATGTTTATTTATAGTCTCGTGTTAGTCTTTCCTTGCTAGAATATAAGTCTTTGGGGGAAGGGCTCTTTACCTTCTTCACTGATTTATACCCTGAGTGTCTGAATCTGTGCTTAATATGTTTGCTAACAAATTTTGTAAGAAATATTCCCCAGTTCTGGGAATTCTTGAAAATAGGCAAATGAGAATTCAATGACAATGAAGTCTTACAGAAGTGAGACTGGGTAGGAGGAACGAGAGACAGCTAACTTAGTGATGTTAACATGATCTCATTTGTATCCACTGATGAAAGATGACTAAAGAAACTTATGTTAATGTACTATAATAATCTCTGACATATGTGTGTAAGGCTATATGGTGTAAAAGTGCCTTTGTATATACTCTCAGATTTTATCCTCATGACAATTTTGTGACCTAGAAGCTCTGGTAGCATAGTGCCTAACGCACTTGACTGCTAACCAGAAGGCTGGTGGTTCAAACCCACCAGTCACTCCTCAGAAGGAAGGTTGGGTAATCTACTTCTGTAGTGATACTGCCTCAGAAACCCACGGAGGGGTCACTATGAGTAGGGTCTGACTCGACGGCACATAACAACAACAACAGCTACTACTTACTTCAAGTTATACATGGTAAATTGAACAGATCCACTCCCTTTAGAAACCCACTAAGATTGTGATAAAGGAGTAAGACTATTTTTAATCCACAAGAACAGGAAGAATGCTAAGGAGATGGGCAAAGAATTATCAGTAAGGTTTTAGTACATGGATAGCAGATGGAAAAGGCATAATTGGCTGAAATTTCTTGTTTTTCCACTTTGCTAAGTGTCTTCAGGAAAGAAGCTGAGAATAGTCAAGCTTCAGAAATGCAGAAAAGCCCCAAACTTAGATGCATGAGTTAACTCTGAAAACCAAATGGGAGGACTGGTTGAAAGCTGTACATGGAGTACTTGAACCTTTAGATTTCCTCTCCTGCCTAAGCAGCAAGAGAAATAGCTCTGGTGGTGTAGTGGTTAACACATTTGGCTGCTAACCATAACACATTTGGTTTGAACCACCAGCCACTGCATGGAAGAAAGATGAACCAATCTGCTTCCATAAAGAATTAGAGCCTTGAAAAGCCAATGGGGATCATTATGAATTGGAATCCACTCGATGGCAGTGAGGTGAGTCATGGCAGAAGAGTGAGGCATATGGGCACTGGGCTAAGGCACACCAGTGAGATCTGAGAACAGTAGTGAAGTGCTGAGGGAAAACATGGGTATCATGACAGTCTGCATCTTAAACCACGAGCAAGATCTCACAGGATTCAGAATGCTAGGATGCCAGCTAACACATCCCACACCACAATCCCCAGGAAGAAAATTGAAAGATTTTTTTTTTTCTGGAGAATTTGACCACCATGTGAGAAAAGATCTCATACAGATATATGAGGTTCCTTTGAAAAATATATCTAGGTCTCCATCCTATAGTGTGACCCATTAGTGATCAGGCCCTTCCAATACAAACAAATCTTTCAAGCAAACATTTAGCACCTTGTTCTCCAATTTATGCCATAATGGATCACTCTACATATTAAAGGTCAACCTCTATTTCAAAGACCAAAATAGAAGAAAGAAGACTTGAGGTAACAGAGTTAGTCTACTCAGTAGAAGAGAATAGTAAAATCTATAAACAATGTTTTCAGAGAAATAAAAGAAAAAAATAAGAAGAGTCTCTAAAAAGGAACAACATAGATATCTGCAAATATCGAAATAGTATCACAGAAATAAAAATAAGGACAAAAATGTTACAATATAAAGTATAAAAAGTTTTCCAGAAAATAGTACAGAGAAGGAGGGATGGAGGGAGGGAGGGAAGGGGAGAGAGAGAGAATGGGGAGAGAGAGTTACAAACCTTGAAGAGAAAAAAGAAACAAAAATAAAAAAAAAAGCTGAATGACATTGGACTTCTGAACAACATCAAAAGATAGAAAATAATGAAGCAATGTCTTCAAAAATGTGAAGAAATTATAAACCTAGAAATCTATACTTAGCTAAGCTATTACTCTTACCTGAAAGGTCTCAAACATTTGTCCTCCCATGTCTCCTTTCTCTGAAAGCTACTGAACAATGTTTGCCAGCAAATTAAGGCATTAAGCAAAAGGGAGGCATGCATGAGCTGCAGGAAAAGGGCATATAATGCAGTAGAGGTGAAAAGAGATCTGAAAATGATGATGAAGTTAATCTACAGAAAGATAACTTTGAAATAACCCAGAGAACAGCTAGTTCCAATTAGAGAATAACAGTAAATAGTTGTAGGAGGAATAGAGGAATGACTTAAGAAAAAAATACAATAGAAATATGATAATAAGTCAATGATTGAGAAATGGAAAACTCAGGAACCGGACGAAAAGTCAAGTATTAAGTTAAATTTTTAAATTTATTAGAAAGACATAAATTTGGTTGACATGTACAACACAACTGGTTCACCTATGAGTAATGTAAACAATGAATATCAATTTTTTTAAAAAAAAATATATGTTATTCATATTGATACCTTAGGCTGAGAGGAAGTGCATGTGATAGAAGGTGGCAGAATATAAGAAAGCTGAATCTTAATCTCAGATAGTGGAAAGTCAATGCACAGTATCTAAAACCAAAAGAAAAATCAAGAAATGATGGCAAAGAGCATGATTTGGAAATCGGATCATCAATACCTGGAAAAAATAAAAGAGCTAGGAAAAAATCTAATAAATGGGACTTAAAGATAATGTTGTATGGAATAAAGTAGAACAGAGAATTGCTCATTTTTGGTGTTTGTTTTTTATAATCAATCTGTAGTACTATTTGATTTTTAAAACTAAATGCATAGATTAACAAAAAGAAATATATTGTTGTTGTTGTTGTTATATGCCGTCAAGTCGGACCCGACTCACAGCGACTCCTCCTTGGGTTTCCGAGGCAGTATCACTACGGAAGTAGATTGCCCCATCTTCCTTCCGAAAAAAGAAATATAAAACTAGATAAATGATTTGACAATGTTAGAGCTTGCAATGCCAAACAAACAAGTGAAATTGTTTCGTAAGGAAATGCAAAGTCCTAAACATAAATGTCCTTAAGTGGTGGGGAGATTTTATTAGTTATTTTATTTTTTATCCACA